CTTCCTTCCTTCCTTCCTTCCTTCCTTCCTTCCTTCCTTCCTTCCTTTTATTCCTTTACTTTTTTTGTATGCAGTCCTGAAGAGAAAGAAAGCGTGAACATAATTTTTCGTTGTTGGCAAGACAAGTGTTATCTGCATTTGGCTGGTCCCCCAAATTATATAAATTGATATTAACTCTCAAGGGGGACCAATAAGCTGGAGGGGAGAAGTCGGGCAGGCTCCCTTCGGGAGGGCGAAGAAGGAAAAATAAATATCAGCATAATACGCACACGCAAAAAAGTCTCTTTTTTATGTTGGACTTTTTAAAGTTTATTTTTTACCTCTGTGTATATGTAGGGAATTTCTAGGAAAATAGTTACTTTATTGAATAAATTTTAAGAACTAAAATATATTTTATTTTTTAAGAAAAGGGGCTTGGCATTGGGTGGGGGCAAGGACCAGACCTTTAACCATCCAACGGCTAAAGTTCTGAAATATATACATATATATATTGATCTGACTTGACAGTTATGAAAATTGTATCCAGAGTTTTATTTTTTTTTTAAACTTCAAAGCCTTCTTAATAATGATAATGCTGATGATGATGATAATAATAATAATAAAAGACTTTTTACTATCTGACAAATCTGTCCTGGTAATCTAGTAAAGTCACTTTTGGGAATTATAATCCACATGTTTTATTTGTCTTTACAGCTTGTCTAGAATTTGGCAAGGTAGGTTGCGACAAGAGGGAGGGGCTAGCCCAAAGTCAGCCAATAAGCTTCTGAGGCTGAAAAGGGTCTTAAACCTGGTTTCCCCACTCCTACTCCAGCACCTTCCTCACCATACCTCATTGGCTCATGGGCTGAGAAGGCGGGACTGGCTATCCCTGCTTTAGTCCATCACCTTAATCATTGAATTTATCCTGGATGTTAGGTTGAGAGGGAGGGTGTGGCCTTATGTCTTCCAGTCCAGAGAGTCCCTGTGGCTGAGGAGGAAACGGAACCTGGGTCTTCCCAGATTCAGTCGAGCACTGAAACCACTATACCACACTGGTTTCTGGCGGTTTCAATAGTATATTGATTTACAGAATAGGGGTCTCCAACCTTGGCAACTTTAAGCCTGGAGGACTTCAACTCCCAGAATTCCTCAGCTGGGGAATTCTGGGAGTTGAAGTCCTCCAGATTTAAAGTTGCCAAGGTTGGAGACCCCCATTAAAGATTTCTTCCCATAAGCACATGACAGATAGTCCTCAACTTACAATTGGTTGCTCAGCAACCGTTCAAATTTAAGACGGGACCATCAAAACCGACCACCTGGCTTCCCCAAAGTTCCAGTGGCTATTCTTCCTCACACACACATCATGTGACTGCATTTGGGATCCTTGACAACCAGTCTGCATTAACAGCTGCTCGCAGCATCCCCATGCTCCCATGATTGCAGCTTATGCCATTTTTTGCTGTGTTTACTTTCAGATTTCACAAAAAAACAGCCCATAGCAAACAAGGGATTTACTTAACAAATGCTGGCTTTTACTGCACCTGACTGGCAAATTCTGGCTTCTTTCCTTTGTATAAATACCAGAATCCTAAGGCTGTTAGGAACGGTGGAGGTCTTCTAATCCAACCCCTTGCTCAGTGAAAAAAAAACTTATTACCATCTCAGACAAATGGCTTCCCAATCTTTATTTGAAGAATCCCATTGATGGAGCATCCACAGCTTCAGGAAGCAGGCTGTTCCATTTCATTTAACTTCAGCAGGGGATGATGGGAACATTGGCCTGGGTAGGGAGCCTGGAACATTCTCTGGCCTCTTCCTGTCTCATCTTCTAAAGCAGGGGTCCCCAAACTTGGCAACTTTTAAGACTTGTGGACTTCAATTCCCACAATTCTCCAGCCAGCTATGAAGTCCGCAAGTCTTAAACTTGCCAAGTTTTGAAACCTCTGTTCTAAAGCTTTTTGCTCATCCTTTCATTAGGGTTTCTCTGCCATTTAGAAGGGAGGGAGGAAAATTTCCACTTAATTGTCTATGATCCCTGATGAGATCCATCACCTTTTCTCTTATTCATGGAGCAAGGAACTAGACACATTTCTGAGGCCCCTGAACATCTTAACCCAGTTTGTAACTGAACATTTTTTTCAAACACATCCTTTCAACCTCAGGGACCAGAAACTTGATTTGCGCTGTTTAACAATATTCAGTAGGTCCTCAAGCTCTTAATTAGGGATCATGCTACTGTTATTTTGTGTGTGGTCAGCAGTGATATACAACCCTGCAACCCTAATTTTAGGCTTTCTCTAATGCTTCTGCAAGCTGTCTTGCTATTTGCTACAAATTTTCTATAAGCCAGAGATCGGTGATGTGTCAAGGACCACATGTAGTTCTTGGCCTAAAGTAATACAGTTCTATTGCAAGGGAGCTGATCGGTATACTTCTGCAGCTTCCTCCTTGAGAAAAATATGCCAGAGAGAACAAAAGGTGAGTATCAACATCAGACGAATGTTCATATCCACTTTGGGGTCCAATTCTTCTCTGCCTTTGGAGAACAAGGCAATCAGTTTGTTCATTCAGTTTGGATACCACTGGATCCAAGCAAAGAATTGTTTACAAAGCACTGGAAAAAAAAAATCTATTAACCACAGCAGACATAATAAAAAATGAATCAAGGTTATAACAATAAAAGGGTAATGAAACAATCTTAAAAAGCCAAACTAAATAATACCAATTAAATTTATAATAAGATACGCAAAGTGCAATAAATCAAGGAGTGAGGTTGCCATCAATTCAACCAACATTGGTTGGAAAAGTCCCATTGCAAGTAGCTTCCTGAACATTAAAAGGGGTTCAGCAAATCTTATTTGTCATGGTAGAATATTCTACAAGGCTACAAGACAAATGAAAAATTGTTTCTGAGAAATTAATCTCCACAAATGGTGGGGAATGAGTGGTTCCATATATACTGGATGAGCCAGGTTAGGTAAGGTGGACCTGCAATTGGCAGGGTGCCAGATCATTAGTGTTTTATAAATAATAACCAGACTTCTGAATTATTCCTGGAAACTAACTGGTAACCACTTGGAGACCAAAGCACAGGTGTTATATGCTCTTGGTAGGTAGCACCCACCAAACTGGACTGCTGTGTTTTGCACTAACAGCAAAAATTCAAAGAATTGGGTATTAATGTGTTCTGTAGTCTCTGCATTTGCACAACTAGTGCTATGCAAATATAAAATATAAACCATTCATTTATACAATTTTCAAAGAATATCCTAACTAACAGGCCGGGAACAGCTATATTAAGCTTAGCTATGCAAATTCAGTCAGTAACTTTACTTCTGATCTAGTTAAGTATATCGTGTCATAAACCATGGTTTGCTCAAATAAGCCATAACTGACAAGCTTATAAGATACCTAATTGTTAATGCATATGTACATTCGGTAGTCCTTGACTTACACCAGGGATCTTCAAACTTAACAGCATTAAGACTTGTGGACTTCAGCTCCCAGAATTCCTCCTCCAGTCATGTTAGCTCAGGAATTCTGGGAATTGAAATCCACCAGGCTTAAAGTTGCCAAGGTTGGAGACCCCTGATACAGCATACAGCTAAACTCCAACATTTTGGACACAAGATTTGAAAGAGACCTCAGTTATCATTTGTCCCAACTCCCTGTCCCTATGGCAGCATCTCTGACAGATGGCCATCCAGCCTGTCCTCAGATTTGGAAAATCTACCATCTGTAGTGTTAGGCTGTTCTATTGTCAGGCAGCTGTTGGTAGGTGTTACCTGCCAAGAGCAGGACACCTGTGGTTTGTTTTTTCTATTAGGAATTTATTCTTGATGACCACTTGAAATCTGCTGGGTTGCTAAGGTAAACTCACCATTTTTCATACATTAGCCTGGAGAAACTCTGGATAATTCTTCCTACCACCATCCTATCCCTCTCCCAAATATGAAAGGGAGTTCAGAAGTCTACAACCAACATTGTCTTCTCCAAACTCAACATGCTAAGTGTTAAGTGAACAATACGATATATGTTATGTTTTTTTTTTTAAATTATTATGTGATTTTATTATTATGGTTAATATATTATGTCATTATACAATGGAGCGCCATCCTTGACATATACTGGCAAGACTATGCCCACAATCTGGAGGTCTTGGATTGCGTGAAATTCACCAGCACTGAGTCCCTGATCATGTGGTGGGTGGGACATGTCATCAGAATGGATGACTTGCCAGTTGCTCTATGGCAGGGGTGGGGACATGATGGTCCTTTTATGACTTGTGGACTTCAACTCCCAGAATTCCTGAGTCAGCCATGCTGTCCTACCTCTGCTCTATGGTATATCAGAGACTGGGGAAGAGACCCTTGAGGTAATCCACACAAGCACTACCAAGGTGCTGTAAAGGAAATCCTACACCATTCTGACATCTAGCCAACAGAGCTATGCTACAAAGCTTCTACAGGATCCAAAGAAAAAACCTGAGAGAAACATGTCAGTGGTGTCACAGAATAACATTCACAGTTATTACCACAATGGATTTCCAGTGCTCCCATTGTGCTAGACTCTGTGCTGGGACTGCACAGTCCTCTCTCTGTCCACAGATGAACTGCACAAGCTCATGTCTTTGAACCAGAAACTCTATCTCTCTATATAATGTAAAGCTAAAAGTGGGTTAATTCAATTATAGGTAGTCCTTGACTTACGATCATAACCAAGCCCAACATTTTCTGTTGCTAAGTGAGACAGTTAAGTGAGTTTTGCCCCATTTATTACCTTTCTTGTTAAGTGACTCACTGCTAAGTTAGTAACACAGTTGTTAAGTGAATCTGGCTTCCCCTTTGTCTTTGCTTGTCAGAAGGTTGCAAAAGGTGAACATGTGACCCCC